ACAATCTAAGAGGTCTCGCATCGGTAATGACTTTACTATTCCAAGTTTAGTTGATATTTCCAAATCGACAGTATATTCGTCACACTTTCTGATGGCTCGTTGCAGATCCTTATTGTTGTCTTGAGCAATAATAATAGTCTTAATAATTTGGCATACAAAAACTCCAAGTTTTATTAAAATTTCAGGATTTTTTTTCAATTTCATTTGGTCCATTGCTTTTAGATGCATTTGTAACAATTGTTTCCATACTTCATCAGAAACAAATTCATCTAATTTCTCATACAGTTCCTCTGCACTATTTATTATTAAGTTGTTTATTTAATTTTAAAAGAAAATTATTATTTATTTTTTATTATGAACCTTTCATTTAATGATCTAAATTCTTCTGCCAACTTTGTTACTGCTACATGGAATTTGTAATGATACATGTTAAACCATCCACCAACATTTCTAGTTATAGACACTAATCTTTTGTCTGTTTTTGTAATTTTGCAAACCCTAACAATTAACTCCTCATATAACACTGTGCTATTGTTCCTGGTTCTGAGAAAGAGTGCCTTGCATTCCTCTTATAATTGGAATTTTATATACTAAATTTAAATAAAAAAATTAGTATAATTATCAGGACCTTTTTATATGAGAAAAAACTATATATTACTTGATCAATCTCTGGAAGTTGCAATGTAGGTTCATGCAACAAGGTAGTCATTGAAGTTGTATCATGTTCTTCATCGATTTTTGTCATCATCTCATTTCTAATATTAGTTGCTAAATCTAATATTCTTTTATGATGCGCTAACCATAATGCAATTTCAAATTCATTATCTGCATCTTGAAATTGTACTGGTCGTTTTGACAATGAATTATCTATACATTATTTATTAAAAATATTAGAATTATTTATTTATAATTTATTATTTAATATGTAACACATATTTAGCTAAGAAACTAAAAGAAGAATATTATTATCGCTTTTATAAATTGGTGAAGAGATCAGAAATAACAATACCATTTCTGTAAACTGATAATAAATTATTGCCATGAACTGATAAAGAGTCATCATTCTCATGAACCAACAAAGAGACCTTATTTCCGTGAGCTGATGAAGGAACATTATTTTCATGAATGGGTGAAGAAGCATTATTTCTGTGAACTGGGGAGGACACATAATTTTCGTGAACCGGTGAAGTGAAGTTACTTCCATGAATTGGTGAAGTTAAAGAAGGTACAATGTTATCATTACTTCTATGATCTGACAATGCCATGATAACATCATTTTCATGGTCCAATAAATAAGTAATATCATCATTTTCTTCATGTCTTTGGTTAATAGCCTTAATTTGAGATAATAATTCGTTAGATAACTGTTTTCTTAGACATAACATTGACTTCTAAACATTTTTATTAGCACATTCTTTTTGAAAACTAAAACCTACAATAGAATTTGTGATATTATTTTGTTGTCTTGAAATATATTTTCATGTTTTTTTTGGAGCTGAAGAACTTGCAACTTGTTGGTTTTGTTTGCACTTTTGTGTTCTTTTGAAAGCTGAATTAATGGTTTCATTAACTGAGCAAGGTACAAGATAATAAATTAGATAGCATAATAGAGAAAAATTAAATAATGTTTTTACATGACATATCTGATCGCTTTTCGATTATTCTTCCTTTTTGAACTTTTAATTTTACGTATTAGGAAAGTTATAAAAAAAAAAACAATAACCTTTGAAGAATTTTATTAACTTACCAAATTTTTGTTTAGGCATATTTGCATAAAATTGGATAATTAAACATTATATTATTTCGGCTTCTTGTTTTTCATTAACACTTGATTTTTTTTTTAATTTCTCTTTATTGACCAAACTAAAATCAGAATCGAGCCTACTTTTATTTGTTATGCAATAATTATAATTATTACATAATACGTACATATTTCTTGCATCTGTCAAAATAAACTATTTTACTTTTTAGTATGTCATTTACCTGATATGATCAATTATGATCACGAGTAGGAAGTAGTTATTTGAATGTCTATACCAATTACAACTGTTGGGATTCTTAAACAAGCTATCCAATTTGAAATTATACCAACCCTAGCGCTATTTCTAATTTTATAATTTTTTTTATCTAAGTAACTGTTTAAGAATTTCAAGATCTGGTATCTAGATTTTGAATCAGGACAACCGGGTTGCAAATTGGACAAATTGGATGCCCTAATTTCTCCCCCAATTTTAACTATCGGAGTACTGAAAATTTGTACTGCAGTTAAAATCAGTGATATTTAATGATAGTTATTTAAAGTATATTAAATCACTAAGATATAAGATACAATAAACTAAAAGTAAATACTGAAATAATAAAATTAGATTAATCCAACGATTTGGTCTTCTTTCTTTTAGCATTTACTATCATATTTGCTGATGATGAAACGTTCAAATAAAACTACCCGTGCATATGCATTATTGCCAAAATTATGGATTAAATCGAAAAAAAACAGATATACAGAAATTGTAGAAACTTCAGTATCTGACAAAACTCCAGAATATAGAAATGTGGAAAGCATTGGTTTATACTCTGAAGAAACTTTAAATGAAGAAGCTGAGAGCTTATCAACCTCTAGTTATACTTCATCAAATGAGGTTGTTATATAGATTCTAAACATTTATGAAATGAATATTCAGAAAATGACTTTTTTCATAAATTACTAATATGTAAATAATTTTAATAAGCCTGAGCAAACGATTGATTCTGAGAATGCCAATAATTATCAGCCTTCATATACACCATTAGTTGACACTGTAGAAGTTTCGGTTGACCATGATGTAGATCCAATGTATGACATTATAGACTATAAACATTTATCTGATGACATTATAGATGCCCCAGTAAATAATAAAGAATCAAACATTGCGGAAGTTTTAGTAAATGAGGTGTTAGAAGATAATGATGAATCTGACGTTACTGATACTTCAGCACCTGATGTATTAGAAGATATGTCATATAGCTTTAAAGGTTTTAGTAGTGAATATGGACCATATTTTCTAAATTTTACATCAGCAGTAATCTTTGTCTTGGTTACAAGGCATATGTTCTGTAAGTTAATTTTAATTATACTGGTTAAAAATAGAATGGCATTCTTAGATTTTACCAACGTTAAAGTAATATACTATATATATATGCATGTGATATTGATCTATAGTGACCGCTGCTTATGAAGATCTTGTAAAAGTTCTTAAACATCCTGATTTTAGAAAGGAACATATTCCTACAAATATTCAGGAGATTCAAAAATGGAGAAATAGGTTACCTTTAGTTAAAACACTCCAATATAACATACCTGTCTGTATGAAACAAACACCATCTACTTACGAATATACAAAAAAGGGGTTTATCATCTCTCTGTTAACACATCTAGAATGTATTTTAAACAATCCAGTACTGATGCGAGAAATGTATTTTGGTCCTGGAGTTGTTACAAATGTAAAACATGAATTTTGGCATAGTGAATTATGGCAGGATTCATTATTATTTGGGGAATATCAAATTAAAAATAATAAAGGTTAATATTTTATTGAATTAATTTTTATTTTTAAAATTTTTATTTATTTTTGATTATTTGATTTGATTTGTTTTTAAATTTATATAATTAATTATTAAAATTTTAAAAGGTTTTGAAATTTTTTAGATTAAAGTTTAGATTTGATTTATTTATTACTTGATTTATTTATTACTTGATTTATTTATTACTTTATTTATTTATTATTTGATTTATTTATTACTTTATTTATTTATTATTTAATTTATTTTATTATTTGATTTATTTATTATTTAATTTATTTAACTTTAATTTTTTAAGTTTTAAAGTTTTATTTTCTTTAAAAAAAGGTTTTTTTTATATAATTTTTAAATTTTAAATAGTAAGATTAATTGTTTTTATCGGAATTTTATAGAGCCAGTGATTTTTTAATATACCATGAGCAATCATCAATGTCTATTTGCCAAGTACATGGTGTAGTGGTCGATGAGATAGACAACAATTTACTCAAATTAAAGGTTGATTGTATCCTTTCGCATGAAAATCTTCCAAATATCCGCCTTACCGATGATTGCTATATTCGAGGCAACGGCAATGAATTATGGTTAACTGAAAGAGAGTCAAATTTAGTAAATTCAGCAAATATAGAATGGTGTATTAATGTTTAGTTATGTGATATGCCAGAACCTTTAGAATATGAATTTTATATTAAAGAAATTGTGTATCACTTTAATGATAGATGGAAGTAATGTGAAATAAAAATGAGACACCAACTACCTTATGAAAATTTTAAATTTACACCATCACCACAACACTTGCCTATCCCAAAGATATTCCTTGATATTTATGTAGATGATTTTGGTACTTACGAAAATGTATACCATACATTGGGTGGTGTTTATCTACAGTTTGGCAATATGCCGTTAGACTTTCAGAAGCAATTAAAAAATCATTTTTTAATTGGTTTTGTCCCATTTGGGGCAAGTTTTAATAATTTTATTAGGCCTGTTCTTCAAGAAATAAAATTATTAGAAAATGGTCTTGTCATAAAAACTTTAATCGAGGATGTATGGGTTGTAGGTGGGGTCGGATGTATCACTGCTGATCTGCCTTAAGGAAATGACTTGGCAGGTATAAAGCGGCATAGTGCCAATCATGAATGCCGAACATGCAATGCATCAAATGATCAATATACTAATTTAAATTATAATTATATATATAATGCATGCTTTCATCAACAGATGGAAGAATGGTTTGCAGAAATTGAAAGCCAATGTTCAAAGGCAGATACGGAACAGCTAGCAGTTAAGTATAGGTTGGTAAAGCCAGGACCTTTAAGTATACTTAATTGGGACCGGCATGTCCAATCACCACAAGATGCATATCATTCCATGGCTGGAAAAATGCGTACTCTTTTAGAGGCAACATTTAATGCATTTAATCTAAATGGTGAAAATGCATTTCTAAAACACTGGAAGAATATAGAAAAACCTACTAATTGGTGTCGAATGCCCAATCCACTATAACATCGTCAAAGTTTTATGTTTCTGATGTGTTGAGGCTTGCAATATTAATGCCTTTTATTCTTCGCTGATTTTTAAAGCCTCAATATATTAAGACTGAAATTTTGAACAATTGGCATACAAGACAAAGTTCTGCTGCATCTAAATTATGTATTCGCTGAACTGTTGAAGCAAAAGTGCTAAAACTTGCGTTCTCGCCTTCAATAACAGAAAATCATTACAAATAATTACAAGAAGCACTTGAAAGTGAATGCGAGATATTAATACAGACAAGTAATTAATTCAAGTCGTCAAACAAAATTTTGTATGAGATTATCAGGATCCGGGTTGAGTCTAAGAAAAAGCATGATTTACACTAAAATGTTGCAAGAATTTTTTTTTGCCAAAAAAGAAAAGGAGTTTTATAAACCAATTTGAAATTTTATTGAAAAGCCTGATTCTTCTGTGATATTTAACTTGTCAAGTTTAAGAATATTAATATATATTTATACTAATTCTTTGGGTTGGTTACATTTATTTATTTATTGAACCTCCATAAGTGCACCTTCTATAAGTGCATACCCTTTCTAAATGCATGCTCAAGTTTGGACCAAGTATATACATGACCTCTATAACTACACTTTTTCTTATTGTTCTCTAAGTGCACGTCATTAAAATTCAGTCGCAAGAGCGTACACTTATGAAGGCTTTACTGTAAATGTTATTATATAATTTTGAATATTAAATTTTTTTTTTTTTTGGTATACCATGTCCAAACCTTTATCCAAACAAATTTATTAATACTGATTAAACTGCTTGTGTATGATTGCGGTTTTAAAACCAAT